GGGTTGGTTTCGTTTGTTGAAGACAGCATGGACACGAGAAGCATATATTTTATAACTTTTAATTTTTCAGGTCATCAGTCCACATCTGCAAACCTGTTCGTACGCATTTCAAATCTTAGCATTAGAGACCTATTACGTGTCAAGGTAAGATCAATACACCTATCATCATCACCATCACCAGTATCATYGTCACCATCATTTTTATCACCAGTATCACCACCATCATCATCATCACCATCATCACCAGTATCATCATCATCACCATGTTTTATTACCATCATCTTTATCATCATGACAAACGTGGTGTATTCTGGTCTAGCTAAGGTTGCGACACCCCCATGAGGCATATATCGTAGAATCTGTTACCCAATCAAGACCAGAATGCACTATGTGATYACCATTCGTCATTAAGCCTTTCCATGGCAGAGAAGATATATTTGATTGGCAAAAGTGTTGACCAAAATCTTTTTGGTTTCAGTGGGCAGTTAGACTCTAGCATGAAAACATCCCTCAAGACCTTTGCTTCCAGGCAACGTTACCAGTACTGGTCCAGTGTAAGTACTCAATCATAAGTGAGAGTGGATTTAAACATTACACAATCACAGTAAACAAGCAGCGGCTTCTCTTGAACTTACAATTGCGCAACAAATTCATGTGAAAAAATTTAAAATTTTGAATATTTTCTTTCCCTAGTTATTAAGATCAGACCGTTTCCAAGAAGAACAGAGCATYCCCTCATCTCGTTCCGTGAGTCCTCTCTTCTTCAARTCCAGCGAGAAYGAGTACCTACGGTTGCTAAGGTCATGGAGATCATTCCTCGTCATGGCGTCAACAATCGAGGTAAAACCACAAAGACTACCCTCTGTCTATGCTTGTCTGCTGGTGCAGGGTCGTCACGCAATACTCTAAATGTGACAAAAATTTGATTTGTCACGCAACATTTTTGCGTTACAAGTTGCAGAAATAATRTTCATATTACCAACCTGCGCGCAASAAATTGTCGTTGKTGTGAGAGTAGAGATCAGCATTCWTTTTGCTAWTAGTATGGATAATACGACAATGTTTCATGACAAGTTGCATGRTTTTGTTGCCYGCTTTYACAACCATTTTWTACGACCATGGRTAGGCTRTTTGAATCCTTTTATTRGGTTTTTGTCWTTGTTGTTGYTTGTTTTACGAATGTCTTTTGTCAGCAGACTGATATTTATGGACTGCGGGATCCAAAGACACGAAACGAGATCCTTAAAGACACTTTGGAAGCACTCCAAATCAAAGTAAGCTTTTCGTCTTTCAGAATGAAACAATGCTTTTACAGGCACTTCGTATCTTGCGCTCGGTATTTCAGACAAGCACCCACTACACATAGAAAAGAGCTTCAAGGCAGACTAACCTAACTTTTGTTTGTTTGATCAGGTATCTCGTCCAGTGACGCTAGACGTACTAGCTGCCGCCCAYGAGCTGAGCTCTTTATACCTGATGCTCTTCAATAAATGGAAAAGGTACGCACTRAATCGTAAAACACTTGTCAAACGAAGTCCAAGAGAAAACAGGGTTTGATGAAGGCTGTGATACAAAAAACTGAATAACACCATCCGTGGGAGGGCGATAAATATTTTTATTTAAATCTCGTGCGCAACAGCTGCATATGCTCCTCGAAGGAAGAAAGTCTTTCAAAAACGTCTTTCATGGAAGGAGAGTAAAAAGGGAACAGTGTGACGTCACGGCAAATCTCATGTGTAATAGTTGCACCGAGAGTTACAATTTATGCTGTACGAAGGAAGAAAACCAAATCTTCCTAAATTACTTTCTTTGGAAAAGGAGAAAGAGACAAGAGAAGGAAACGAGAGGGGGAGGGGTGGGGATAAACGGTGCTTCACCTAAGGATCAACTTTTCTCTACAGCTCTGTCAAGACTGTTAGTTCGACGTTTAACACGCTAGTGGAGATCTTGGAGTCTGCCAATAATAATGATGGGCAGCTGTTGGACCATATCAGAATCCCTGTGTTTTCTTCGATATCTATT